CTAACTGTGCTATTTCAGATATAAGTTTTGCTGCTCTTTTTTGAATGCGCTCAAGAGTTCTTATATCCTTTTTTAAATAGGGTGACCAAGCTTGTGTAGCAAACTCATTGTGTGGGCGGACGTAGGTAGTATCAAGAGATTTCCAGAGAGATAACCCTCTACTTTTAAATGTTTTTTTTTTAGGGTACCAAGTACTTGATTTGCTTTAGCAGCAGCTGTTTCGACTTGATTTTTTTGTTTAAGGTCATCGGAAATCAAAACTCTAGGATCTCTTTAAAGAGGTTAATTCAATTTCTTGTTGTTGTCCGTGGTCACAGTATCCTATTATATAAAATATTTTGCGTTAGACTTTGTTTTACTACAGTTAAATTGCTTGACTTTACATTTTTTTAAATTTAATTTTGGATGTCATTTTTTACACCATAGTATTATCGATATCTTTTTGTAGTTTGCATCTTCTAGTGTTTTAATAACTCAAATTATCTTACTATCGTCAGCGTAGAGTTTTATAAAATGGTGTATGTGGCTAAATCATTGACATAGAGAACAAATAAGAGGGCCTAATGCAGAACCCTGAGGTACACCGCTAGCAACGTCTTTCCATTCAATTATAGAATAACACATCGGTAACACATCATTTTTTAAGTTGAAACCGTGTTGAGATATCGAGATAATATTGTTTTCCTTACAGTATTTCATAATTGCTTCACGTATAAGATTTTCTATAATTTTACTTATAACAGATGTTAACGAAACTCCTCTGTAATTAAAAGCTTCTAATTTACTGCCTTTTTTAAAAATTGGAGAAATATTTGCCATTCTCCACATATCAGGAATTTCACCACGTTTCAGTGAAAGACTATAGATAATTGTTAATGGAATCGCAAATATTTTTCACATTCTTTGAGCACTCTAGGATGAATGTTGTTGTATGCCATTGATTTTGTTGTATTTAGTTTTTCAATTCGTTCTTGAGCAATTTTTTCAGTTATTACTAGCTCCATTGTTGTAGAATGCTTTTGTTTGTTGTTAAATGTTTGTTGTAGAATGCTTTTGTTTGTTGTTAAAAATCTGGAAAAGGACTAGATGGTTCTTCTTCAAATACCGAGTAAAATTAATCTTTTAGTATATTGCATATCTTGCTATTATCAATAGTAGTTGTCTTTTAGAGCACAAATTATTTGTTTAAGTATTTTGTTCATACATACATTCTATGAATGAAATACTTTTACATTTGATTCGGCTTTTTCAACTAACTACTCCTAGTAGTTTTGTATTTCTCTTTTTACAACTTCTTTAACGCTTTTACAAGCAATTTTATAATCTTTGATAATATTTTTATGTGCATTCTTCCCAGCAGAGATATATTTTGCCCATATTAACAATAAACTTCACAATTTCATTACGTTCAAAACAATTTTAAGATGAAATGAAAATAGATAGCACACCGAATCACGGTTTAAGATGAATTTCAATATTTAAAGTACAACATTTTAAATTTTAAAACTTCCTCATAAATGTGTGCAAGTTTGATGTTTGTATACAAAAACATTTTTAATGCTCTGATTTCACATTGGCATTTGTACATTGTCTTAGGTAAATGCTTGGACATGATTTTTACTAATTGTTAAAAGTATTTTGCGACGTCAGAGAAAGTTATGGTCATTTTAGTGTTTTAATCAAAATCGATTTTGGTGGAAACATTAAAATACTTTGGGTAAAAAACATTAAAATACTTTGGGTAAAAAACATTAAAATACTTTCAGTAAAAAACATTAAAATACTTTCGGAATTTTAGGATTAATCTTAAAATACCGAAAATATTTTCTTTATTTTCTTTGTTTTCAAAATAGGCTCCATTTTGATAAAATGAAGTAAAAAAAAAGTAAACTTGTCTGAAAACAAAAGTTTTCAGTTTTACATTTTTGTTGAAAATTTTCATTTTTTGTACGCTTATTGTTGTTTTGTAATTATTAATAAACTTTAATAATTTATTTTAATTAAATAAAAACATTATTTTAAGTAAAGAGTTTTCTTGACTTCCGATCAAAAGATAAGCAATACTATTAAGAATTTATGGCTTGTAGAAACTTTAAAAATCCAGACTTGTAGTAGCACATAAACATTTGTTGTCCAAATCTATTGTCACAATGCCTAAAAAGACTTTATCACACACTGAAAATTGTACCAAAGTTTTTTTTTTTAATTTGTTATTTTAGGTGCCCCAAGAAGTCCTAATGGTCTTGTCGCAGAGCAACGCGGAAGTGCATTTAACCAGAAAGTTCACGCCTCCTTCCTTACCGTGACGCGAAATATGTCTAAAGCTCGTTTCGAACCTGGATCTCCTGCTTATAAAGCAAGTGCTATAACCGTTGCGCCACGGCCGCACTAAGTATGTCTGGTGTGCTTTAAAAAAAGTTCAGATATGGTGCTAGCTTGAAAAGACTCAATACTTCCAAAAGTTCAGAAACTTTATTGAAAAATATGATCCCAACGAAAAGCATTCACTTTCTGTTATATGTGCTTGATGTAGACTAAATCTTCTCAGAATTAAAAAAGAAGAGAAAATAAATAATGATCTACCTGGCTCTTTTGGTTTTTCCAAAGTTATTCTTACGACTCTGACAAAATCAAATCCTTTGTATTGTTGCCTTATTTGTGAGGTTGCCCGTTTTAATTCAATTAGAATAAATCAAAGATCAGCTAAGGCTTTTCCTTTCCAAGTTGGAAGATCTCCAGTAGAAGCCAAAGATTTATTAGCACCTCTTGGGTCAATTAAAATGTGCGTATCGGCGCTATTGGCAGTCAGTTAATAGTGGAATAGTACATCCGAACCCTTGTACTGTTCAAGACGGAAGGGAAAATCTTTAGACAGTTATTGGCCAAGTTCCCCAGGCAGCAAAAATGATTGCTGTAGAAACCAATGTAGGCATATCTAAACAATGATTGGGTCCTTGAAGAACTGCATGCATATGACAAAATTGGAAATGAAAGAGGAATACTTCTTTCTGCATTTAAGACATTCAATGCAATCAGACAGACATGCTTTGCAAAGCATATATAAAAATTGACCACATTACTATTACCTTAACGGAGTTGGAATCTTGATGAGAGCATGAACTTTATGTTTTTTAAATATCTCAAAAATCAAAATGATGATTTTTATAAAGTTTGAAAAAGAATTAATAAAGAAGTTCTACTAACAACAATTTTTTATTAAAATTGGATTTATATCAAAACTGTCAGCAAAAATTTGTGAAAAAAAAATGCTCTCTCAAAAAAAAGAGATAACAGAATCGTATCAAAGGAAATTAGGACATTTCCAAATTTGGGAATTTTTTTTTTTATAACAATGAAACTGTGACAAGAAATAAACTTGTTACTCTTAAAATAACTTATTTACATGAAAATTTAAAATCTTTAAAACATGCTTCTTTTTTTTCTAATCGCCATAACTCAGGGCCGTAGGGAGGGGAGGAGCACAGGAAAGCACGTGCTCCCCCCCCCCTCCCTCGTCCTATTTGCGTCTTTCAAATGTTGCAATAGAATATTTACTTGAATAATAAAAATCAAAATTGATTAATAAAAATTAAAAAATTGGAATATTCATTTAATTTAATAGTTATTTTAGTAATTATTTAATAAAAACAACTCAGGCGGGAGGTATGGGTCAACACTTTCTTAAAAAATAAGTTTATTTAATCGTCAATTAGCGTCTAAAAACATTTAGTTTGGGTACTATTGGTTGTTTTTACCGCGCTGCAGCACTTGGTAAATAAACAATTATAAATAAATTAATAAACAAATATAAAAAAATAAATATTTTTTTTGTAATGCTTAGCTTGAACAAAAAAACTTTTTCATCTTCACACATGCTGTAAAAACACCAGATTATTTGGGCGTTGATGTAGTAACATCTAAGAAGTTTGCAAGCTTAACGTTATTTGGATTACATTATATCGGACCTCCAATTAATGTTTAGTGAACAATCTTGTCAAGCTATAAAACTTTTGTATGTCGTGTGTAAAAATGTATTTCAAGCTTTAATATGTGACATAACGGAAAGTGTTAAAGATGTTGTCTAAATCTATAGTAACGATCTACCTCAGCCAGGATTGCTTGAGGAAAAAATTATTTTCTGGAAGAACCTTTGTGATGAAATGGAGGGCCCAAAACTAAAAAATTTACAATCTTCATTGTTGAAACGTGATAAGCAAGCTCTTCCAAATGTACATACACTCTAAAGCATTGACTGTACACTTCCAGCTAATGTCTTGTGAATGCGAGAATTATGCATCTGCGCTTTGCAGATTGTCAAATTATATCAGAGCATCCATGAAGGACAACCGGTTAGGAGCACTTACACTAATGAATGTGCATTGTGAGTGCATGTGTAAGGTCGAAGCATGAGAAAAAACAGAAATCGCAAAGTTATTTAATAAACTACATCCAAGAAGAATGGAGCTGCCATCCTTAATCATATAAAACCAATTTTTACTGCAATAATTTATTGTATCTTACTTAATTTGGTTTTTTAATTATTATTGTGTCACATTTTGTAATTATATCATTCTCTCCATTTTTAATTGTTGTATGCAATTAGTTTCCCCATTTGGCGCCTATAAAAAAAGTGCTCCCTCCTTCAAAATATTTTGGCAACGGCCCTAACCGTAATTATATTTTATGTATTATTATATAATAATATGTATATAATTATACAGAGAAAAAAAAATTTAAGCAAAAATATTGAAAAATATATTTTTCATATTAATGCACCCAAAAAAACTATTGAACTCTGTATAAAATAAAATATAAACCCTGAGATGCCCATCTTTTATATAAACATCGCCTGAAAACAGTTTCTACGGTTTAGTTTCTAAACATTTAAAGAGAATGAATATAAAAATTCAAAAGAACTGAAAACTTCGACAGAAACTCATGCACAAAGTGTGGAAGGAAACTCATGCGCAACAGCAATTTTTAAATAATTTTTGGTATTTAAAATTACTTATAATTACAAATTTTTTTTCCTATGTGCAAAAAAAAAGTTAAAATACTAAATCAATGGAGATGGAGTTTTTTAGCTTATTATTCTTTAAAATCTTTGCCATGCTTTTATTTGCAAAGTGTGGTTGTCACAAGTTGATAGAAGGTAGAGTAGTACATGCTTATGTTACTGATCATCCATTAAAGAGAACGCCAGAAAACTTGAATAAATATAAAGAAAACATAATTTTACAACATGCTCTAAACACGGAAAATGATTATATAAAACATATTTTTGAAAGTGATTTTTCTGAAAGTCCATTTAATGAAGTTTCGATTATGTCTCCAAGCGGGAAGGCATTTGAAAGCACAGATATTATTAACCCATTGCCAAAAGAACTAATAAAACAAATATCTGCAGAGGAATACTCAGTTCTTAAAAAACCGAAAAAAAAAAAAAAAAAGGTTAACCTACATCTTCCACAAGAGACAAATCATCATTCTGTAAACGCAGAAAAAAAAATAAAGATAAGCAAACTGCAGTCTATTGGATTCGAAAATGAAAACGACGTTGAAAATACATTTAGTAACATTTCAAGCCCGTTATCTTTAAAAGAAAAAATTTCTCCTCAATTCTTCTCAAATTTAAATTCTAAAAATACGATTGGTTATAAAATAAACAAAGAACAAAAACAAAGAAAAATGAATAAAGCCATTAAAAGATCTTACTCAAATGGTTACAACTATTTTAAGGTGAACTTTTTATAAAAAAGCTTTAATAAAACTTAAACGATCTTTAATTTTATTAGCAGTTTTATTTGCAGTTTAGCAAGTTAGTATTATACTACAATTTTATACAAACATTTTACTACATTTGATGAACCATATAAGTAATTTTATTATATATATACATAAATATATATAAATATATATATATATATATATATATATATATATATATATATATATATATATATATATATATATATATATATATATATATATATATATATATATATATATATATATATATATATATATATATATATATATATAGAGAGAGAGAGAGAGAGAGAGAGAGAGCAAAAAAGTGAGTAATTGCGCATATAAGTATGCTATAGTAGAATATATATATATATATATATATATATATATATATATATATATATATATATATATATATGTATATATATATATATGTATATATATATATATAGAGAGAGAGAGAGAGAGAGAGAGAGAGAGAGAGCAAAAAAGTGAGTAATTGCGCATATAAGTATGCTATAGTAGAATATATATATATATATATATATATATATATATATATATAGATATATATATATATATATATATATATATATATATATATATATATATATATAGAGAGAGAGAGAGAGAGAGAGAGAGAGAGAGAGAGCAAAAAAGTGAGTAATTGCGCATATAAGTATGCCTTAGTAGAATATATATATATATATATATATATATATATATATATATATATATATATATATATATATATATATATATAAATAGGTAACTCGATACATCAAATGTATCGAGTTACCTATTTTTCTATAAAATTATAAACATATATATATTAGGGTGGATCGATTTTCATAGCAAAAAAAAAAAGTTTAAAAATCAATATTCCTGAGACACGAATCGATGTTTATTAATTATAAGATAAAAGTAAAAAAATATTTTTTGATTTTGTTGAGATCTTGAGGTTCCTCTTTGGATTCTAAATCCTTGACGGATCCTAATATTTTTGAATTTTTTTTTTCAAAAACTATATCAACCTTGGACTCAAAAAAAGCAGAAAAAAATGCTTGTTTTATCAACAATAATTTTATTAAAAAAAAAGAGTGGATCGATTAAATCAAATTTTTGAAATTTGATTTGCCTGAGCTGCGAATCGATGTCTTTTGGTGAAAAAAGAACTTTAGTTTTTTTTTTTTTTAAATTTAAATGAGTTTTAGAGGCTCCTCTTTGGATTCTGCATTTATGACGGATCCTAGTATCATTGAAACTTTTTTCTTCTAAACTATATTAACCTGGTACTCAAAAGAAGCAGAATAATACGCTTATTTTGAATATAATATTTGTTTCAATTCAAAACTGAAAAGAAAAAAAATAATGTTATTTTTTTCATTAAAAAAACCCCCGTCTTCATCAAAACGGGGATTTAAAGGTATATTTTTGCAAATAATTTTTTCACTAAAAATTTTTTTTAAATAAAATTATTATTGATAAAACAAGCATTTTTTTCTGCTTTTTTTGAGTAGAAGGTTGATATAGTTTAGAAAAAAAAAAATTCAAAAATATTAGGATCCGTCAAGGATTTAGAATATATATGTTATACATATATATATATACACGTATAACATATATATAATCTAAATACATCAATATATATGTTATACACACACACACACACACACACACACACACACACACACACACACACACACACACACACACACACACACACACACATATATATATATATATATATATATAAATTTTTTATTTTACTTTGTGTTATTCCTAAGGTCTAAATGTGTTCATTTATTAAAGAAAACATTGTATCAAAAAAATCAGCCAAATCGGTTAATATTTAGAGGTCGCGCTGGGGCGATCTTTATACCCCTCTAAAATTGGAATTTTCAAAAGTTCAGTAAAATATTGACCTTCGTTTTCTGTGCACATGTCGGTTATTTACCGTTCGATTTTAATAAAATAAAAACGAAAATAAAGCTCTTATTACGCATAATAATTTTTTTTAAACAACATTTCCTTTTTAAATGCATATTAAAGCGGCAAAATAAATTGCAAACTAAGCCAAATTTCATTACATTTTATTATATTGGTTTATTATATGGTTTAGTTCAGTTTGAGACTTTATCGAGAGTGTTGTGATTCCTGAAATAAAATTACAATAGTTTATCTATTTTGCTTGACTAATAATATTAATTACAGTATTTTAAGAAAGTGATATAATTGCGAGTTTCAACGAAACTAATTTTGTTTGGAAATATAGGAGACAACAAAATATATTTTCATTCATACACTGTATTAAAGAAAATTTAAAATGGCTGCAGTCGCAAAGTCAACACGCAGTTCTACAGCAAAATGGTTAATTGGTCAACCAATATCAATGCTTTCCCATCTTAAGCTTCAAACGATTTTGGAAGTATTAAAATGTTTTTTCTTCCACCATGAGGTGAAAGGATTGAGTAAACATGAAAGTTCGGTAACAGTTATCAAATCAACTTGTGAAATTTGGGAAAAAGCTAAAATTCCTACAATTCGAAAGGATAATGCAGTTACAAGGCTTGAAAAATTTCATAAAGAATATACGAATCTATCAAAGATAGAAATAAGAAATCAGCTGTTGCTAGAAGCAAAGTAACAGACTTTGAAAAGAGAATTATGAAACTTTTTGATATTGCTCCAACTAATGTTTTTGATTTAATAAAAATTGCTGAAGATCGCGATTTCCTCATAGATCAACGAGATGATAGAAACATGGTCTTGGGTTCCATTGATAAAGATGATGCAGAGAAAGAAGAAAATAAAGTTTGCAGAGAGATAAGTTTGGATAAACGTTTGCAAAAAGAAGCGTTAAGGAAACAACGCTCTGAAAAAGTAGTTGTTCTTGAGAATTCACCTTCGCCTTCAAGTTCTGCTAGTAGCGATCATGATGATATCGCAGTTTTGAAAGGAAAAGATGATGTTGCAGAAAGCTCCGATCTGAAAAGGAAGCGTTCTATAAAAAAAATTATTACCCCTGAAGTTGTCGCTTCCTTAGATAGAGGAAAGTAAGCAATCGTGTGGCAATGCGAACTATAGCAGCTACAATGCAAAGTTTAGGAGCTCCCATTGAAGAGTTCTCTATATCTGTTACTACTTTTCATAGGGCAAGAACTGTTTATCGTAAAACTCATTACAATGAAACAAAAGAAAATTTCAAACCGGATGTACCTCTCGTAGTTCATTGGGATGGAAAAATGATGGCAGACATCGCTGGAAGTGGAAATGTTGAGCGTTTGTAAGTTTTAGTAACAGGGCGTGGTGTTGAAAAACTTCTGGGAGTGCCAAAACTTCCTGATTCAAAAGGAGAAGCCATTGCTACTGCAGTTGTAGCCTCCCTCCATGAATGGGACGCTTCGAACCTTATTAATAATCTCTGTGGCATGTCGTTTGATACCACAGCTAGCAATACAGGATCTGAGAAAGGTGCTTGTAATTTACTTGAAGAAAAATTAGGAAAAGAATTATTGAATTTAGCCTGTCGTCATCACATTACTGAAATTGTTGCAGGATCTGTGTTTAAAATTTATTTTCCAACAACGTCCGGACGAGATGTTGCTATTTTCAAACGATTTAAACAAGCCTGGAAGAATATCAAGAAAGATGATTTTAGCCCAACAGTGCAAGATGAAGAAGCTGAAAGATATCTTTCAAACGTCTCGATTGAAAAAAAATCGTCTAAAATTAATTACTTAAAAAAATGTTTGGAAGACTCACAACCACGAGATGATTATAAAGAACTTCTTGAATTATGTCTAATATATTTAGGAGAGCAACCTTCTAGTGGAATAAGATTTAAAGCACCTGGAGCCTTCCATCATGCTCGGTGGATGGCAAAACTTATTTATTCAATTAAAATATGGTTATTTAGAGATCAGTTTAAAATGGTGCAACATGAATTAAACGCAGTAAGAGATATTAGCATGTTTGCTGCGTTAGTATATGTTCGACAGTGGTTTACTGCACCACTCAGTGCCTCGGCCCCATTTAATGATTTAGATTTTCTAAAAAATATTGAGGAATATCGTGAAATGAATGAAAATATAGCGACCGCTGCAACCAAGGCAATCAAGCGACATCTATGGTATTTAAGTGAAGAACTTATATCTTTGGCCTTTTTTAGTGATGATGTAGAGATTGAAGTTAAAAGAAAAATGATAACTGCCCTTCAGCGTCAATGCGAAGACAATAATAGGCCATCAAAGAAATTAGCAGATATTACAAATGTAATGAGTAAATCCCTTGAGGACTTTGTAACGTATAAATCACTTTCATTTTTTAATTTCTTAAATATTGACATTTCCTTTCTTGAAGAGGATCCTTCAAACTGGAAAAACAATGAGTCGTATGCCGACTCTAATGGAGTAGTGAAGTCTCTTAAAGTTGTTAATGATTGCGCCGAAAGAGGGGTGAAGTTAGTACAAGACTTTAATGCTGTCTTAACAAAAGATGAAGAGCAGCAAAAGTATGTGCTAAATTTAGTTGCAGAAAACAGGGCTGTCTTACCAGATGCAAAAAAATTAACATTGAGTGCTAAACAAACCAGGCGACAATGAGCAGCTGTTGTTGTTTAATGTTGTTTAATGTTGTTTAATAAAAATTATTATGCGTAATAAGAGCTTTAAATTCGTTTTTATTTATTAAAATCGAACGGTAAATAACCGAAATGTGCACAGAAAACAAAGGTCAATATTTTACTGAACTTTTGAAAATACCGATTTTAGAGGGGTATAAAGATCGCCCCAGCGCGACCTCTAAATATTAACCGATTTGGCTGATTTTTTTGGTACAATGTTTTTTTTCATAAATGAACACATTTAGACCTTAGGAATAACAAAAATTAAAAAAAAGTTTTTTTGGATCACCCTAATATATATATATATATATATATATATATATATATATATATATATATATATATATATATATATATATATATA